TGCTCTGTGTTCACAGGGTGTCTCTGCACTCCACAGGCTGAACAACAAAACCCACTATCCTGGAGTGCAGCCCAGCTCAGAGAGAAACTTCCTTGGAAGGGGTTTTTGGGGCAGATCTGATACTGTACAGTGAACACACACAGAAAAACACAGGTTTTGTCTCTACGCAGAAAGCACTTTTTTTTTTTTTTTCAAACGGATGTATAAAAATGTGGTTACAATAAATTAAAACAAGTAAACAGGGGCCACTAGTTCACATATCACACCAAACAGCTCCCTCTTTAACCAAAAGAATCAGGAAGAACAAACTAGACATAACAAATCCTTGCCACATTATTGAATGAACTAACAAGAGGAGTTCAGTGAGAAGAAGGATAATAAATACTTCCATATACTCAAGGTAGTAATGCACAAATTGGCATAAAAGAGTGCACCAAGATATGCTGAAGTTTTGTGCTTCCTTTTGTGGCACTTAATAAATACCTAGAGATCACACAAATATCTCAAAAGTTGAAAGTTTCCATGTCATTTTTACCACAAGCATCAGAAATATAAACTGTTAAGTATATAAAGATAACCTTTACACCTGACTATCTACCTTAAACTATGTAGTTTTATAAGCCGTAGTATACAATATCCCCTCTTAAAATTTAAAATAGGTCTAGCAAAATATCAAATATCGTGAGGCACTCTGCTGTAATAAAGTCTTTTTTTAAATGCAAAAAAAATCCTCGGCAGAAGATCAGTCACATTTCTGACAATGCAGGGCTTCTTATCTTACTCATTTCTACGTATTTCAATGCTTTACTATAACATTAACATTAGAATTTAATTTGGAGACAATCTCCACGGCACAGTACATTTTTATTTCCCAACGAAGATTCTTCATTTGTGCATTCCTCAGGATTCTGCTGTCTGGCCATGACCTACTCTGTGACTTCTGAGTGGCTTTGTTTTCCCATGGCTAATTCACCACCATTTTTGTACTTGTCAGCAAAATAATCAGAGTCAAAGCTCACAGACAAATCTGGAGGACTCACATAAACATTTCCATTGTCTATTGTGACCTTATGAATCCTTTGTTTGACTCCTTTTGATTGCCACTTTGGTGTTGGTGATGGTTCCAGAGGATTTATTCCTTCATACAAGCCTTCTCCTGTTTCCAAGGTAATCTTAAACTTATGCCAAGGACAAACAATACACGCTTGTCCATCGATATCCTGCAGGAAGGAGAAGAAGGAAAGATAGCAAGTCATCTTCTAGGACAAAAAGTATATTTGATAATTTGGTTGTATGGCTGTTTGCTGTTATATGTATGTGACTGGTTTTTTCAATATTTTGTTCAGATAAAAGCATTAGAAAAAATCCATTAGAGTTTTCACATAACTCTATGCCTCTGCATTATTTTTATTTTGCTTACATACCTCTATTTCTCCACGACATAAAGGGCCTCCTTCATCTGAAACATGGCAGAACACCGTATTAATTTAGGCAGCAGATTCTATGCTTAATTCTAACAACACTGAGATCACACAGGCAAATATCTTACGGTAGCAGCGAGAGTCCAGAGCATGAAATTTCCCCTCATGGTAGAAAACAACAATTTCTCTGCCATTGATTTTGGCTGTTATTCTTTGGGACTTCTTTATGTTCTCTTCCTTGCCAATGAATATAAGGCCATCTGGCTCTGTTTCAGCTCCTCCTGTGCTTGAGCTGTCTGATTCCACATCCTTAAAACACATGTACAAATAAATGAAAAGGTCACTTATAAAGAAATTCACATTTAGATTTCATGTGGGGAGAGGGAGAAAAGATTTCAGTGAAAGACTGTCAGCATGCAGAGGTAGAAAAGGAAGAGAGCTTGGTAATAATGTTCAGTTAGTGTGTTCACTAACAGAACTAACAGGACAAGGAAAACCAGCTGTTGGAAGCCTGATATCTAAAGCTGAGGCAAGATAAACTCTCAATCACTATTCATTTACTCTGCACCTAAACCAGCTTCACCTCTCAAAACCTATGTGAAAACAAATACAAGGATGGCAAACGTAAAATACTATACATTTCAGGTATGCAATGGATAGATTTACATGTAAATCCAACACTCTCGACATAATGTTATGGCTAGAAATATTAAGTGATTTAAGTTAATAAAAAGTTATTTTGAAAAGGAAAGAAAACATTATTGAGTAGCTGTATTCAACCTGATATTTTTAGCAAATGTGCCTGCCTTTCCTTCCCTCTTCTTACATATTTCAAACATATAACAAACTCTCCCTCTCACAAGAGAGAATATAAGTGGCTTTATGACAAAAACAACGTTCCCATTTAATTTACTTACAATTTGCTATTGTGTTCCAGTTATAATCAAATTTCCAATACAACATCGATTCGTCAGAAAAATGAGGTTTAAACAGGCCTTTATAAACACAGAAAGAGGAACCATGGGTGGGGGGAGAGGTGGGGATGTCTCTCAGGCTGCAGGGGGGTGCAGAACCTCAGAGAGCTGCACTGTACCTTTGGTCCACACCAGATTGCGATGGAGATGAGAAAGCAGATGAAGAAATGAAGGCTGAGGATGATGAGATCCAGCATCTCCTCTTTTCCCGGTGCCTGTCACCACTGCCCTGCCTTATTCCCATATGTCACAAAGGGCTTTGCAGCCCCTCTTTAAGTGCAAGCAGGAGGCAACTGGGCCAGGCCCTAGAGCACCCTATGGCAGGACTTCAGAGGCTCAAACGTCAGAAACCGGCTCTGCCAGGGCTGATAAGAGCCATGGACACTCTGGGGCTGGCCTGATAAGAGAAGAGTACAGCTTCCAGTTCCCCCTGCTGCTGTCCTCACCGTGAGCCCACGCTATTGCTGCCTGCTCCCAAAACCCTGCTCAGAGCCACACATGGTGCATCCTCAGGACCAGCATCGGCAGGTTTCCTCATGAACCACTTCGCTGGGAAAGAGTGGTTTAAGTGACAGTGTGGCATTTCCAAGTCCAGTTGTTAACTGATCTGCACATGATCAACTGCTAAAACCAACTCCCTGCTTTCCAGTTCGAGGAACTACCACCCAGTCTTACCCAGAAAGTGAAACGTCACTGCCAGACTCACAGGACCATCCAGTGTGGCTTTCACACTTCATTTTTTCAAGATACACAAACTAATCACAGGAACCAGAGTAGGAAATCCCCAATTTTTAATATCACCTTTTGGCTGACTCCCTCTATAAACTTTCCAAATTGACAAAGATATTGAAATGCAGAAGCCTGTAGTTAAAACCTCTCTTAATAAGACACCTCTAGAAAACCCTGTGTGTATAAATACACACATCTATAGCAACAGAAACACACACACATATATATTTGTGTGCACACACATCTGTATGTGCCTCCCAATCAGTATTAGAGTACACCTGACCTCCAGCCCATTTTGCCATGACTTCTTGCACTCAGCTTTCATTTTGCACACATAAATTATCCAGGCTCCCATTCTGAAACCTGACTGAGACCATCAGCACCTCGTGGACCCTGAGTGGCCTAAACTGCACAAGCAATCAGTAGCCAACAGGTTACTTGCACAGCTGATACTCGCACACTTATCTACAAACAAGTGTAGACTTAGGACCACACTGGCACATCAGAGGCCCTCCAAAAGGAAGCCCCCAAGGCAACTTTCTTCCCTTAGATAAGGGGAAATGGGTCACATCACCCTCTCACAGACCCCATCTCAGAATCCTGAGCTGCCGCAGCTCCAAGTAGTGGAAGTGGGCACACTTCAGTCGGCAAGAGGAAAGGTTCTTTCCAGGCTTATACACGGCAAGTTAGCCTTTACTTTTTAACAGTTTTTCTCCTGATATTTTCTTAAGAGTTTGGCTGCTTTGATGTTTTCTGAGTCGCTGCAGACAGCACGGATGGAATTGTCCCTGCTGCCAAGTGCCATCTGGTGGGAGCGACAAAGAGGTTTGCGAGCAGCGTAAGGGCTCTGTCTCCAGCTGGAAACAGAGAAGGATTTGTGAATTGTGGCAATTCATTGCTGCACCCTGCTCTGAATAATTTTCCCCCATTTTGGGGAAAAAGGAAAGATATCCCCGCTGCTCTCATCCTTCGGGGGATGCTCCGCTGTGGGTGTGAGGAGAGCGCGGGGGTGTTTGGAGGAGGATGCTCGGCCAGGCAGGGCAGCCCATAAATGTATATGTGCGTGTGTATATCTATATATAAATACACACAAGCCTCCGGAGGCTCGCGGAGGGTCAACAGAGCGGCGGCTACCCCGCTGACCATGGGTCAGGAGAGATGGAGGAGGGACCCCTCACCCCGCATCTTCAGCCGCACTGCCCCAGGCATCCCCCCGGGACGGAGGGCGGGCGCCGTCCTGCTGCTGGTGCCCGTATCTTTCATCTTAGCTCTAAGCTTTGGCTGAGCTTGGAGTCCATTTATTTTTATTTTTATTTTTATTTTTATTTTTATTTTTATTTTTATTTTTATTTTTATTTTTATTTTTATTTTTATTTTTATTTTTATTTTT